TCCACATTCGCCAAATCCGCAAGAAGTTTTGTGTAGTGATTTATGTGATCTCTAATGGAGGTTCCCTTCTTCAACTGGAAACGATAAAATCTCCTCTTCAAATGCAAGCGGTTTTCCACACTCTTGGTCAAATACTTGCTTTCGAGAATCTCCCAAATCTTCTTCGCAGAAGTCTCATTCATCACATCATATTTTAGATCTTGAGTCAAACAAGACCTAATCACACCACACGCCGTTCGATTCATCTTTTTCCAAACCTTCTCTTCAATCTCATCTGGCTTGCCATCTAACTCCAAGGTATCCTCCAAATTCTGCGCCCATTAAACTTCTCCACATCTATCTTCATAGAGTGGATATTCAAACTCTGAATGGTCTTCGCGCCAGAAGCACCACCCTCGACACCCGAAGCACCTTCTTTCCCCGACATCCTTTCTCAACGCCCTCGACACCCAAACTCTGAATGGTCTTCGCGCCAGAAGCACCACCCTCGACACCCGAAGCACCTTCTTTCCCCGACATCCTTTCTCAACGCACCAACGAACGAAGAATAGATCCAAAACTGAAAAGATAGAGTCTTTACCAAAAGATCTCACATTTATCACCAAACGAAGCCCTAGACGAGCCTCCAAATTGATATACTCCTCCAAATAGCCCAAGCGTAGCCCAAGCGTAGCCCGAGCTCTGATACCACTTGTTGTGTGCCGTGCGGAAGCGTGCTCGAGAACCAAACGAGTCGGTGAGTGATGAGAGAAGAAAACCAAACCAAATCAAGAGTGCAATTCACCAAAATACGACACAAATCAAACCAAACACAAGAATTTACGTGGTTCGGCAATTGCCTACGTCCACGGGGAGAGGATAAGAAGATTTCACTATATGAAGGAAAAATACAACGGGTTATAACTCACAAAATCACTCAAATATAACCCTAACCAAAGCTCTCAACTCCCTCACAATATCTCCCTCTCAAAGTGCTCAAAACAATGCTAATTCTCTCTTTTTCTCTCCTTGAGAAACCCTAAAAAACGTGATCCTATTTATAATAAAACACAATCCCAAACAAAGGAGGATTCTAAAAACGAGTCTGTCACACCAGGGTGTGGCGCAGACCACACCCATGGCAGACAGGGCAGATTCTGCCACACCAGGGTGTGGTGCAGACCACACTCATGGCAGACAGTACAGATTCTGCCACACCAGGGTGTGGCGCAGACCACACCCATGGCAGACAGGGCAGATTCTGCCACACCCATGGCAGACACCACACCAGGGTGTGGTGGAGTCTGTTTTGAATTTTTCTTCACGTTTTTTCATAATTTCTTCACCGTTTTCACACTGCCTCCCTTGTCCTGACACCAGGCAAACCATCTTCTTCAACGATGAAAATGATAAAATTCCTTTCCACAGAATTTCTCTTCTGTAAAATCTCGTACGGAAACCTCCCAAAAATGCCCCTCTGTGAGACAACTAATCAATGAGAGGGCAGAGGGAAGAAGAGAAACTATTAAGAAACTGGTTTTTGGTTGAAATAACACCGAAGAGAGGTTATTTGTAGCGGAGAGACGCTGCTGGAGGTAGTAGGGTCATTTTGGGAATTAGTTTTACCTTTTGGCGGGTAATATAACGTTTAGGCCCATTTCATTCAGTCGCTTCTGTTATGCGACGGATACAGCGGAGTTGGAATTAATAATGCTTGGCGCTTGTTCGTTAATCTCACTCGATCACTTGATTAATCTTCGTTAGCCTCGCTCACTTGATATGCTTAATTATTGGTTTTACTTAATTAATTTGGCTCTAACTATAGACGAGAATATGTACACAACACTCTCCATCGGTTGCGTTATTTATGATGTGTGTAAGAGAAAATCAACCGTTGGATGGACGAATAAAGCTTTAAGTCTTCTAGCTTAACGCAACGAATCAAAATCACTAGACGTTAAAGCCTTTAATTGGGTTGTTAGGAAAGAACAATCTAGTTTTGTTTGTGGCCTGTGGTTGCAAATTTATTATGTAGATTTGTGACTTTTGACTTTTTATGTTCTTTTTTTGATCGAAAAACAGGGGTAGAACCCCGTTCATTAAAATATCAAGAATCCAAAAATGTTGGATTTAATCTAATAAATCTATTTGTGGGCACATATGGTTAATCAATGTGTATTGCTATCGGAATCATATGGTGCCCAAGTGGGAGATTGTTGGATTTAATCTAATAAATCTATTTGTGGGCACATATGATTAATCAATGTGTATTGCTATCTTTCAGGATAACCCACTAAAGTGATCAATTAAGTTGGGTTAATTTGGTATTTAAATAAGTCATGGGGTTATATGTGCAGATACCAGGTTGTAATTGTGATTTATTGAGGGGCTAAATTACAAAAGTACAACATCTATAAATAAGGGGTTATGGTCCCTAACCTAGGGTTACATTCTCTAATTCTCTTCACCCCCATCTAAGAGAGAAATTCGGCTAAAGAGAAAACCCTAAGGTTAGAAGATCCAAAACCCAAAATCAAGATCAATCTATGGATTCAGGTATAAGCTTCCGCTCTCTTTTGATTTTGTTAATCTCTTTGAATTAATCATGGCTATATGGTTTTAGATCTCAAGCTTTATGATGTAGATCTAACAAGTGGTATCAGAGCCATCTTGATTAATTCTTAGGGATTTATGTTTTATTGGGTTTTTGATCTTAAATCTCTGGTTAAAGATTCAATTTTTGGGTTCGGATGAACAGTAATGTTCTCGGATGAACAGTAACGAAATTTTTTTTCGGATAAACAGTAAGGTTTTTTTCGGATGAACAGTAACTGGTGGGAATTTTTTGGATTTTTCTTTGATTTTTCCTTCAATTTTTTTCAATTCTGGATCTGTTTTGAAAATAAAAATCAAAGGTTTTTTGGGTTTGTCGGCGGCGGTTTCAATTTGAAACCCTAAGGGTTCATGGCGAAAATTAAGGAGGTGGTTACATCAAACGAACCTCGCGTTTTTTTTGGGTTTGTCGGCGGCGGTTTCAGTTTGAAACCCTAAGGGTTCATGGCGAAAATTAAGGAGGTGGTTACCCAAACGAACCTCGCGTTCACTCAGGTGAGCGTCAAGCTCAATTTTAACGAACCTCGCGTTCGTTCTAAGGTGAACCTCGCGTTCAACTCAGGTGAGCGTCAAGCTCAATTTCAACGAACCTCGCGTTCGTTCCCAAGGTGAACCTCGCGTTCAACTCAGGTGAGCGTCAAGCTCAATTTTTTAACGAACCTCGCGTTCGTTCCCAAGGTGAACCTCGCGTTCAAACTTCAGACGAACCTCGCGTTCGTACTTCAGACGAACCTCGCGTTCGTACTTCAGACGAACCTCGCGTTCGTGCTTCAGTCGAGCCTCGCGTTCGAACTTCAGACGAACCTCGCGTTCGTACTTCAGACGAACCTCGCGTTCGCAGACGAACCTCGCGTTCGTGCTTCAGACGAGCCTCGCGTTCAAACTTCAGACGAACCTCGCGTTCGTACTTCAGACGAACCTCGCGTTCGTACTTCAGTTGAACCTCGCGTTCATTTTTTTTAACGAACCTCGCGTTCGTTCCCAAGTTGAACCTCGCGTTCTTTTATCAAACGAACCTCGCGTTCGTTCATTTTCAGACGAACCTCGCGTTCGTGCTTAAGTGAGTCTCGTACTCAATACAGTCGAACCTCGCGTTCGAAGTTAAGGGAACTTCGTGTTCATTATGGTTAAGCCTCGGCTTTTCATGGGTCCACTTTGGTATACTTAATTTATTCAATTAAGTTATGGGCCCTAATTAAGCTGTGAGACCCCAATTAAGTTTTTGGAAATTCAGTTGATTTAAATTTTTTAATTTAAATCTAATTCGGTTTTTAATCAATTATTTAATTCAAATATTATGACACTAAGGTATTAAGGTTGTCTCTCACTCCAATTGATTAATTGAAACAAGAAGTTGCCAAAGTAACCTCTCTTGTGTAGATTGTTCATGAGGAATGTGAGATGTTTGTGTGTATGCTTTCGTGTAAATATTTAATCGGCCCAAAGGAAGGTTAATATTTATTTAGACTGTATACACATCTGCGATGATAAGCGTGTGACAATTATAAGGTTTACATGTGAATAATGAATCGATCCAAAGATAGTTTCATTATTTGACATGAGTTATTGTCAATGTTTGATCATTGCAACAAGGTATCACTTACAAGTTAATATTACTGTCCAAAGACTTGATATTAATGTTGTGCCGGTATCTTGGATGGGGATTGTCATTATTTGAATTTTATTGATTATGGTTATTGATGTGAGCATTCTTTTGTTTTATTTCAGCTAATGCATCTGCTGCAACAATTTCTGCTAACATCAACTCAATTCCCATGCTAAATGGGACAAACTTCAAGGTTTGGAAAGAGAACATATTAATTGTTCTTGGCTGCATGGATCTTGACTATGCATTAATGGGAGGGGATTTGACACCTCACTACCAAGCATAACTTTTTGTGCTTGGTACCAAGCATACCCATATTTCTATATATATATATATATATATATATATATGTTCAGTTTGATGTTTATAATCAGCCAGTCACCTGAGCTAATGTTGATAAATTATTTGAGCTCGAAGTCTGACTTCATCAGCCAGTAAATTTTACAAAACCTGCAGCAAGTTTGGGCGTTTTCACTTATCCTTCAAAAAGTTCAAAAATTTCACTTAAACCCCCAATAAGTTTGAAATGTACGTACTAATTTATGTAGCCATTGGGACGATTAACGCGCTAGACCTTTTGAATATATATGGAACTCAAAGCCGACTCGTTGGGGGCATCTTAAGAATTATGCAAAGAGAAGGTCAGGCATTGACTTCGATCCTTTGATGCGAAGCAAACATATTCAAAGTCAGAACTACTCCTATTAGACTAATAACAGATATTAACTTAAGGTCGTCAGCCCTGAGCTCATCTCTTCCGCTATAAAAGCATAGATACAATAGTGATCAAAACAAGCAAAAAATGTCTGCGCAAGTGAAGCTTTTGGGACAATGGGTAAGCACATTCAGCCGTAGAGTCGAGCTCGCCTTGAGGTTGAAGGGAGTTCCTTATGATTATATTGAAGAGGATCTTTCAAACAAAAGCAGTTTGCTTCTCGAGTCCAATCCAGTGTACAAAAAGGTCCCTGTGCTGATCCATGGAGGAAAGACAATTGTAGAGTCTCTTATCATAATTGAATATATTGAGGATACTTGGAGTACTGGGTATTCCCTGCTCCCCAAGGATCCATTTGAGAGAGCCAAAGCAAGATTCATCACAAGGTTCATAGATGACAAGGTGAGTTTTTTTTCTACATAATCTATGCATAATTGTTATCACGCCTGGCGTGATAATAAGGGTACGTTCCTTGCTTTGGTCTGTTCTGAGGTTAATTTAGCTTCAGTACCTAGAAACACTTGGTGGTTAGACTCTGGTGCTACTACTCACATAAGTGTTTCTATGCAGGGTTGCCTGAGCTACCGAAAGCCAAGTGATGTTGAAAGACACATCTTTGTGGGCGACGGACAATCGGTAGATGTGGAAGCAATTGGGCACTTTAGGTTGTTGTTAGGAACTGGTTATTATTTGGATTTAAAAGATACTTTTGTAGTACCGTCTTTTAGACGGAATTTGGTTTCTGTTTCTGTATTGGACAAATCAGGTTATTCTTGTTCATTTGGAAACAGTCAATTCAGTTTATCTTTTAATTCAAATGTTGTGGGAACCGGTTACTTGAGTATTTATGACAACCTATATTTGCTTGATACAATTGCTTCTTACAATGAATCCTTGCATGTGGAATCACGTGGTACTAAGCGTAAATTAAATAAGGAAAATTCGGCGACATTATGGCATAAGCGCTTAGGTCATATCTCAAAAGGTAGAGTTGAGCGTCTTGTGTCTGATGGCATTTTGGATTCCCTTGATTTTTCGGACTTCGACGTATGTGTTGAATGTATCAAGGGAAAACAGACCAAAGTGAAGAGATTAGGTGCCAACAGATCTTCGGATGTCTTAGAATTGATACATACGGATATTTGTGGGCCATTCCCTACGGAATCCTGGAATGGTCAACAATATTTTATATCATTCATAGACGATTACTCACGTTATGGGCACCTATATCTTATTCATGAAAAATCTGAGTCTCTGGACATGTTCAAAGCCTATAAAGCTGAAGTTGAGAATCAACTCAACAGAAGAATTAAAACCGTCAGATCTGATCGTGGTGGTGAGTACTACGGTAGATATGATGGTTCAGGTGAACAACGTCCAGGACCATTTGCTAGATACCTAGAGGAATGCGGTATCGTCCCACAGTACACTATGCCGGGTTCACCTAGCATGAATGGTGTAGCTGAAAGACGAAACAGGACTCTTAAGGATATGGTAAGAAGTATGATTGCTCATTCTTCTTTACCAGAGTCACTCTGGGGAGAAGCACTTAAGACAGCAGCTTACATTCTGAATAGAGTACCAAGTAAAGCAGTTGCTAAAACACCTTATGAGCTTTGGACTGGTCGAAAGCCCAGTTTAAAGCATTTACATATTTGGGGATGTCCAGCTGAGGCAAGGCCTTATAGGCCAAATGAAAAGAAATTGGACTCCAAAACAGTTAGCAGCTACTTTATTGGGTACCCTGATCGCTCTAGGGGCTATAAGTTTTATGATCCCACTATAAGGAATATTTTTGAGACGGGAACAGCAACATTCTTTGAGGATGTTGAGTTTGGGGGGAGAAATAAGGTTAGAGACATTAGTTTTGAGGAGGAATTGGCTTCAGATCCAATCCATACAGTTACTTTTGACAATATTCAGGTTCCTATACCTGTTGTTGCTCAAGAAGTAAATCCGGAACCTCAAGATGATAATGTTGAACAACTCCCTGTTCCAGAAGAACAAACTCAACAACCTCAAGAACCAGTGCCATTAAGGAGATCCACGAGAGAAAGGAGAAATGCTATTCCGGATGATTATATTGTATTTCTCCAAGAACATGAGGAAAGTAGTGGAATGTTAGAAGATGATCCAATCAACTTCTCTCAGGCCATGAAAAGTTCTAACTCTCAACAGTGGATTGATGCCATGAATGAAGAGTATAAGTCTATGCAAGACAATAAGGTTTGGGAACTTGTCCCATTGCCAGAAGGTGCAAAACCAATTGGTTGTAAATGGATTTTTAAAACCAAGCGGGATGCAAACGGTAATGTGGAGAGGTATAAGGCGCGTCTTGTGGCTAAAGGCTATACTCAAAAGGAAGGCATTGATTATACAGAGACTTTCTCTCCGGTTTCATCGAAAGACTCTTTCAGAATAATCATGGCACTTGTTGCTCATTATGATCTTGAGTTACATCAGATGGATGTTAAGACTGCATTTCTCAATGGAGACATTGATGAGATGATTTATATGGTGCAACCAGAAAACTTTGTGTCAGGAGACCCAAAGAATATGGTTTGCAAATTAAGGAAATCCATCTATGGACTCAAGCAAGCTCCTCGTCAATGGTATCATAAGTTTCAACAAATAGTTATCTCGTTCGGTTTTGAGATGAACATTGTTGATGACTGTGTATATCACAAGTTCAGTGGGAGTAAGTATATTTTTCTGGTTCTGTATGTGGATGACATCTTGCTTGCCACTAATGATATAGGCATGTTGCACGAAACCAAGAGATTTCTATCAAAGAATTTTGAGATGAAAGATCTTGGGGACGCCTCTTTTATATTAGGGATCCAGATACATCGAGATCGCTCTCGGGGTATTCTTGGATTATCACAAAAGAGCTATATCGATAAGGTACTTAAAAGGTTTGGCATGCAAGATTGCAGACCAGGTGACACCCCTGTTGCTAAAGGAGACAAGTTTAGTCTCAATCAGTGCCCTAAAGGTAACCTTGAAATTCAGGAAATGCAGAAGATTCCTTATGCTTCGGCTGTAGGAAGTCTAATGTATGCTCAGGTATGTACGCGTCCGGATATTGCGTACATTGTTGGGATGTTAGGCAGATACTTAAGCAACCCTGGTATGGATCATTGGATAGCAGTCAAAAGGGTTATGAGGTATCTTCAGAAAACAAAAGATTACATGCTCACATACAGAAAATCAGAGAAATTAGAGGTCATTGGGTATTCGGACTCTGATTTTGCTGGATGCCAAGATAGCAGGAAGTCTACATCAGGCTACATTTATATGTTAGCAGGAGGAGCTATATCATGGAAAAGTGTCAAACAAACACTAGTAGCTTCCTCCACTATGGCAGCAGAATTTGTAGCTTGCTATGAGGCATCCAATCAGGGAATATGGCTGCGAAATTTTGTCACGGGACTGCGCATTTTGGAAAATGTTGAAAGACCACTAAGGTTATATTGTGACAATAAATCTGCAGTAATGTATTCCAATAACAACAGGAGCTCAACTAAGTCAAAACATATTGACATTAAGTTCCTGGTTGTGAAAGAAAGGGTACAGAGTGGACAGATATCCATAGAGCACATTGGGACAAACTCCATGATAGCTGATCCTCTTACTAAGGGATTGCCACCTAAGGTCTTTCATGAGCATACTGCTCATATGGGTGTGGTATTATTTGAGGATATTATGTTTTAGTGGGAGTTTGTATTTGTGGTGCTTTATGTTTGTTTGTATTGTCTGATCAGAATAAAGTTTTCAGTTAAGACACTCTGTTACATTATGTTTGGTTTTGACCTCACTAAGGAGGACCAGTTGAAAATAGACATGTACTGATCACATTGCATGTAATTTTCATGCTGCACATCCATGATTGATCTATGTCGTTTGATTGTATTGATATATGTGACCATTGATGGGTCGAGTCACGATAAATGTGACGAAGGCCGCTTTGATCCTATATTGATATAGTCAATGGACGAGATTGTTCGGAAATACCATTTCAGTGATAGCAATTTTTGAGCTCATAAGGTTATACACAGTTTAAGAAATCATATGGTGCCCAAGTGGGAGATTGTTGGATTTAATCTAATAAATCTATTTGTGGGCACATATGATTAAACAATGTGTATTGCTATTTTTCAGGATAACCCACTAAAGTGATCAATTAAGTTGGGTTAATGGGTATTTAAATATAATCATGGGGTTATATGTGCAGATACCAGGTTGTAATTGTAATTTATTGAGGGGCTAAATTACAAAAGTACAACATCTATAAATAAGGGGTTATGGTCCCTAACCTAGGGTTACATTCTCTAATTCTCTACACCCCCATCTAGCTAGAGAAATTCGGATTTAGAGAAACCCTAAGGTTAGAAGATCCAAAACCCATCTCAAGGTTCATCCATGGATTCAGGTATAAGCTTCCGCTCTTTTGATTATTGTTAATCTTTATGATGTAGATCTAACAATATGGTTTTAGATCTCAAGTTTTATGATGTAGATCTACCAAGTGGTATCAGAGCCACCTTGATTAATTCTTAGGGATTTAAGTTTTATTGGGTTTTTGATCTTAAATCTCTGGTTAAAAATTAAATTTTTTGGGTTCGGATGAACAGTAAAAATTTTTTGGGTTCATGAACAGTAAATTTTTTGGGTTCGGATGAACAGTAACGAAAAGTTTTTGGATGAACAGTAACGAAAATTTTTTTGGATTTTTTTTATTTTTTCTTTAATTTTTTCCAATTCTGGATCTGTCTTGAAAATAAAAATCAAAGATTTTTTGGGTTTGACGGCGGCGGTTTCAATTTGAAACCCTAAGGGTTCATGGCGAAAATTAAGGAGGTGGTTACCTCAAACGAACCTCGCGTTCGTTCAATTTTAACCGAGCTTCGCGCTCAACGAACCTCGCGTTCGTTCTAAGGTGAACCTCGCGTTCAACTCAGGTGAGCGTCAAGCTCAATTTCAACGAACCTCGCGTTCGTTCTAAGGTGAACCTCGCGTTCAACTCAGGTGAGCGTCAAGCTCAATTTTTAACGAACCTCGCGTTCGTTCTTCAGACGAACCTCTTATTCGTACTTCAGACGAACCTCGCGTTCGTACTTCAGACGAACCTCGCGTTCGTACTTCAGACGAACCTCGCGTTCGTACTTCAGTCGAGCCTCGTGTTCGAACTTCAGACGAACCTCGCGTTCGTGCTTCTGTCGAGCCTCGCGTTCGAACTTCAGACGAACCTCGCGTTCGTACTTCAGACGAACCTCGCGTTCATACTTCAGTTGAACCTCGCGTTCATTTTTTAACGAACCTCGCGTTCGTTCCCAAGTTGAACCTCGCGTT